TTTGTTTTGGATTTTTTATCTATAAAGAAAACCTCACTATTAAAATCCCTGTAAGGAAAAAACAATTTAAAAAAACAACAAACTCTGTTAAGATGGAATTCTAATAACCTTTAACACCCAACTTGATTTTTTTCCCTGAAAACAACTGTTTTCTAATACTCTTTGTGGACAATTCAGCTCTCATATTGAGAGGTGCATCGTGCTGTAATTAAGAACATGGACTCAAGAGACTCCTGTCTGGCCTCAGTTCCATTTCTGCCACCCTCTAGCTGTGACTTTGGACAAGTTACTGAGACATTTTGTGCCTCAGTTTTGCCATCTGTAAAATGAGATGATCATAGTAGCTATTGTCATGAAGTTACTATGAGGGTTAAATTAACTCCTAATTGTGAAGTGCTTAGATCAATGTTTTGCATAGCAATATTCAAAAAGGGTTATTTATCCTTATTATTGTTAATATTATCATTTCACAGCACAACAGACTGTTTTCCTACATTTTATATTGCTTTTAATTTTACACAGTACTTTTGCATTCCTTATCCAAATTGATTCTAAAATCATCTGCTAGGATGGGGAAGAGAATACTGCCCATTACGTACAAGGAGCCTGCATGAGGGAAGTTGAGACCGCAAGTTTATTTCAAGTTTATTTCATGGCACGGAATCTTTGTTCTCCCTCCTTGCCAGGCTGGAAGTCCAAAGGGGCTTGATCTTTATGGGTCACTTGGTCTTCATTTTATACCTCTCATCAGTTCTTTCACGGTAACTAGACCGAACAAGGATTCTGGGGGAAGTTACAAAACCACCTCGTAGGAAATAAATTGGAGAAAACACTTCTATCCACATATCCAGAGGAGATAGCTCAACCGGTCTCTGAAGCAATTAGATAATACTTGCAATAATACCAAATTAGAATGAAGTCTGATGTGTCTAATCTGAGCCACCCTCAGGTAATTCTCACTGATAAGATTAATTATGTTTTTTTGTAAATTAGCCAGCCCCCAGTCCTGGAGGAATAGAGCTTACAAGAAGGCTGCAAGTCTTACATGATGGCCAGCAGGCTGCACCTATGAGATGGGGATGATATCATAACACTCTCTGCCCCATCGCAGTCATCAGCCAGTGCCCCATCTGCACTGAAGGTTAATAAATATGTATTTGAATGAATTAATCATAGCATTGTTTTAGGACTTGAATTCACTGATTTAACTAAGCATTATACGTTAAAATGCCTGGTATATAAGCACTAAAAATGTCAATTTCTCCCTTTCTTTGCAAATAAAGATAATAGTACTGTACCGTTTCAATCAGATATGCATTGTTTTCATTTAATAATAAAGGATAATTGTTCACTGAATGACTAAAACTCTTTGCCCATCCAATGTATGACCTAGAGATATGGCTATATTTGAGTGCAAACGAAGCTAAGTAACCTTGTAATTAATATTGTTTTCTGGGCTTCCCTGGTGGCGCAGTGGTTAGGAATCTGCCTGCCAGTGCAAGACACACAGGTTCAATCCCTGTCCAGGAAGATCCCACATGCCACGGAGCAACTAAGCCCATGCACCACAGCTACTGAGCCTGCACTCTGGGGCCCACGAGCCACAACTACTGAGCCTGTGCGCCACAACTAATGAAGCCCGCACACCTGGAGCCCGTGCTCTGCAACAAGAGAAGCCACCGAAATGAGAAGCCCAAGCACCACAACGAAGAGTAGCCCCTGCTCGCGGCAACTAGAGAAAGCCCGCAGGCAGAAACAAAGACCCAATGCAGCAAAAATAAATAAATAAAATAAAAGATATTTTATTTAATATCTTTAATAATATCTTTAATATCTTTAAGAAACTTAATAAAAAGATATTGTTTTTTATCAACTGAATCAGAAAGTTGAATTGGGTAAGTGGTTAGTGGTTAGTAACCAAGCTGAAGGCTACTCTGCTCCAGCCTGTTAGTTTATGCAGGAATATGACCATTGTGTAACCAGATAATTTTCAAGGGAATCCAAATCTGTAGATCATTATGTGGAGTTTCCAGTTTGTTAAATATTGGCCATAAAATAAATTTAAGGTAACACACCAGGTCTCTGCTTCTTGCCAAAATAGAATAATAGGGATTGGATTTACTATCCCCCTTGAAACAAACAAAAAACCAGACACAATACTTAAGATAATATTTTTCAAAGCAATCGACACAGTAATTAAAGACAATGATGCCGAGAAGATGGGAAACATAGGAGAAAATCCATAAAAGAAGAAATTGATAAATTTGAATTCTTCACAATTTAAAACTTCTGCTCTTCAGGGGACAATGTTAAGAGAATGAAAAGACTGGAAGAAAATATTTGCAAAGCACATATCTGGTAAAGTACTTGTGTTCAGAATATGTAAAAAACTCTTAAAACTCAATAATAACAAATACTATATGATATCACTTATATGTGGAATCTAAAAAAATGATACAAATGAACTTATTTGCAAAACAGAAATAGACCCACAGACATAGAAAACAAATTTATGGTAGGGATAACTTAGGAGTTTGGGATTAACATATGCACACTACTATATACAAAACAGATAATCAACCATGACCTACTGTATAACACAGGGAACTATACTCAATATTTTGTAATAATCTATGAGGAAAAAGAATCTGAAAAAGTGATATATATATATATATATATATATATATATATCACTTGGCTGTACACCTGAAACTAACACAACATTGTAAATCAACTTACAATGTAAATCAACATTGTAAATCAGTTTAAAAAAAAAACTCAATAATAAGAAAACACTCAGTAAAAATACAGAAAAGATTTGAACGGACTTCACCAAAGATATACAGATGGCAAATTAACACAACAAAAGAAGCTCAACATTATTCATCATTAGGGAAATGCAAATTAAAACCCCAGTGAGATACCATTGCAACCCATTAAAATGGCTTAAATTAAAAAGACTGGCGATACCAAATGATGGTAGGTATGTGAAGGAATTAGAATGCTGATAAAATGATGGTTGGAAATTTAAAAATTACAACTTTAAAAACATAGTTTGGTAATTTCTTAAAAACCTAAATATACACCTACTTTATGAGCTAGCCATTCTACTCCTAAGTATTTACCCAAGAGAGAAAAACACATTGTCCATACAAAAATTTATACCCAAATATTCATAGAAACTTTATCTGCAATAGCCCCAAGATGAAAATAATCCAGATATACATCAATAGGCATATGGATAAACACTGTGGTATATCCATACAATGGAATACTAGTCCACAATAAAAAGGGAATGGATTAATACCTGCTACATGATGGATCTCAAAATAACTATGCTCAGTGAAGGAAAACAAACAAAGTTATATTCTGTATGAATCTTCTATAAATCTCTAGAAAATGTAAACCAATCTATTTTAGTCCATCTGGGCTGCTATAACAGAAATACCATAGACTGGGTAGCTTAGAAACAATAGAAATTTATTTCTCACCATTCTGGAGGTTGGGAAGACAAAGATCAAGATTTGGTGTCTGGTGAGAACCTGCTTCCTGGTTCATAGATGCTGTGTCCTCACCTGGTGGAAGGGGTGAGGGAGTTCTCTGGGGCCTCTTTTATATGGGCACTAATCCTGTTCATGAGGGTCTACCCTCCTGACCTAATCACCTCCCTAAGGGCCCACCTCCTAATAAATACCATCATATTGCAGGTTAGGTTTCAACTGATGAATTTTGGGGAAACATAAACAGTCTACTGCACAATCCACAGTGACAGAAAGAAGATTGGGGGTTGCATGGGGATGGGGGTAGGGCAGAGAGGTCAGAAGAGACAGAATACAGAGGGATATGAGTATATATTTAGGGATAATGGATACGTTCACTATCTTCACTGTGGTGATCATTCGGCGGGTTTATGTGTACACAAAATTCAAATTATACTTTTTAAATATGTCTGGAATCAAATGTCAATTACACCTCAGTAAAGCTCTTAGAAAACAAAACAATAACATGGGTTTTAAAACATAAACACCAGGCTGGCAACACACACATGGACGCCTGGGCTGTGGGTTTGCAAACTCCAACCTACATTTATGACTTACTTTCAGGGAAATACGCCTGACCCCGAACACCTATACTAAACTACAAAAGGAAATGCTTGCTAAATGGGGGCTTTTTGTTGGCTACTTTCAAACAAAGCAAGTACCATTTCCAACTCTTTTTTGAATGGCACAAACCAACTTTTTCTGAATGGTTAGAGGGGCGCTGTGCAAAAGTTCTGATTAAAGTCCAGAATCTCTTAATAGCAAAAGATGGCAGGCAAGGCAGAACTCATTTTCCTTTTGATGTTCACACATAATTCTTATTCACAGTGGCAGGAATTATGGGCTTGATAGCACCCTGAATCTCTGCTGACAAAGTCCCTTCCCTAACATGATTTTGCTCATAGAAGGGACTCTTTCAATGACACGGAGCCATTGTTCACCAAAGGACTGGGGAGACATCTTTCTGAAAGATTCCACAATACGTGAAAGGAATGGAGATTTTCCTCAGAGTGGTTTTCATAAATGTATGAAGTAGAATAAAAAGTTCTAAACCAGCATTTAGGAACTTACTGAAAGCGGCCATGTGTAACTACGGATTGAACAAGCTGGCCTGGCAGCGTGCACAGTGCTTTTTATTCTTTCTCCCTCTGCCCCATTAAACCCCTTCTCTGTGCAGCTCCCTTTTCTATGCTGGATGAAGTCTTCAGCAAGACACATGCTTTTTCATGGTCTTTCATTCAGAAGAACGGTCATTTTGGTAATTAAGAAGATTCAGCCCAGCTATACGGAACCCCCATTCTTTCAGCCACTGTAAGGCTGGTCTGTCTCCCCTGACCTGCAGACCGGCTTCTCCCCTCTTCCTTTCTGCTGTCCCTTCTTCCTCACCAGCACCCATACACAACTGCTGTAGAGTTTGATACACCAGGGAGAGAGGCGCAGTAAGAAGAGAAAAGGTCTTACCTGGAGGGACCGGTTGTTATCTGGCTTTGGACCGTCTCAGCAGAGTAGAGGAGAAATTTCTGGCTCTTTCTCTCACATGTGGTGCATTCTTGGGTTCCTAAGAGAGCTCTCACGGAGTCCCCAACTGTGTGCCCTTCCAAGGAGCAATGCCTTCTCTCTCAGCAGCTGGACTTCCAGGTGCCCATCTCTCTGTGGGTGTTCTCGGCTGGGTCTCTTTTACGACAACCCTAGGACAGCTCCCTTCGAACACGCCAATGCTGGTCCAGGAGAAGCACACATTCTTATTCTGCAAACAGTAAAGGTACAGTCAGCTTGCAGTGCAGCCCCTCTCTCTTTGCTCTCCTAAGCTCTCCCTCCTCTGAACTTTCCTTCATTCAGCATCAGACACCGATTCCTATGTCCCCGAAGTCAAGGAGAACCTATGTCTAGTTCTCAATATGTTTCTTTTAAAAATCTCTCACTTGGCTAGAGGTAAGAAAGAAAAAGCTTATTTATTTCTCCACTGTGAGGTGCAATTATGGACTACACAGCACAGCTACTGCTCTGCCCCAAATAGCACCAAGTACTGGCCCTTTAGTCCCTTTTGTGTAGCTGGCAGGTGGGTGACAGCCTACTGCTAGCAGGATCTCCAGGCTCGTAACCTCTTGACAAAACCTGCAGAGCTGGTGGAACCCTGACATAAGATAGGAGAGAGTCTGCCCCCACTTGTCCATTTCTGAGCTTTGGAAAACAGGAAGGTAACCGAAGGCAATAGAAAGTCATACTTAATGTCACAAGTTTACACAGAAAAAAGGACACAAAATGAATGCTATAATCGTAACTAGCCGATATCTTTTCTCTCTTTCTTTTCTCTATGCTCCAATGATGATATCATACTCCAGTTTTCAACTTAAAATTAATTCCATGAAAATCTACTTTATGAGAAGTTTTGAAAGTTTTCTTGAATTATCATTAATAAATGAAAATGTGTGGAAACATGACTCTGAATAACTTAAACTTAGTATCTCACTGATTATAGCCTCAGTTTAAATTGTCTACAACATGCAAGCTAATCATTTAAATCATCTATAATTTTTGTGCTAAAATACCCAAATGTACAGGAAAGTAGGTTGGGGGTGGCATTCTTTTTTTTATTTAAATTAAATAAATAATTGCCCGAATTACCTTCTTTAAGATTTGGGGAGCTTGGGCTAATTCAATTTTCACTGCCTGTTTAAAATGGGTTATGTCGAGGCTTCCGGGAAGATGGCGGAAGAGTAAGACGTGGAGATCACCTTCCTCCCCATAGATACACCAGAAAAACATCTACACGTAGAATAACTCCTACAGAACACCTACTGAACGCCGGCAGGAGACCTCAGACCTCCCAAAAGGCAAGAAACCCCCCACGTACCTGGGTAGGGCAAAAGAAAAAAGAATAAACAGAGACAAAAGGATAGGGACGGGACCTGCACCAGTGGGAGGGAGCCATGAAGGAGGAAAGGTTTCCAAACACTAGGAAGCCCCTTCGCGGGCGGAGACAGCGGGTGGCGGAGGGGGGAAGCTTCGGAGGCGAGGAGGAGAGCGCAGCCACAGGGGTGCAGAGGGCAAAGCGGAGAGGTTCCCGCACAGAGGATTAGGGCCGACCTGCACTCACCTGCGCGAGAGGCTTCTCTGCTCCCCCGCCGGGGCGGGCGGGGCTGGGAGCTGAGGCTCGGGCTTCAGTCGGAGCGCAGGCAGGGGACGGAGGTTGGCGGCGTGAACACAGCCTGTAGGGGGTTACTGCGCCACGGCTAGCCGGGAGGGAGTCCGGGAAAAGTCTGGAGCTGCCGAAGAGGCAAGAGACTTTTTCTTCCCTCTTTGTTTCCTGGTGCGCGAGGAGAGGGGATTAACAGCGCTGCTTAAAGGAGCTCCAGAGACGCGCGCGAGCCGCGGCTAAAAGCGTCGACCCCAGAGACGGGCATGAGACGCTAAGGCTGCCGCTGCCGCCACCAAGAAGCCTGTGTGCGAGCACAGGTCACGCTCCAAACCTCCCTTCCCGGGAGCCTCTGCAGCCCGCTGCTGCCAGGGTCCCGGGACCCAGGAACAACTTCCCCGGAAGAACGCACGGCGCGCCTCAGGCTGGTACAACGTCACGCCGGCCGGCCCCTCACGCTGGTGCAACGTCATGCCGGCCTCTGCTGCCGAAGGCCGGCCCCGCACTCCGTGCCCCTCCCTCCCCCGGCCTGAGTAAGCCAGAGCCCCAGAAGCAGCAGCTCCTTTAACCCAGTCCTGTCCGAGAGAAGAACAGACGCCCTCCGGCGACCTACGCAGAGGCGGGGCCAAATCCAAAGCTGAGCCCCTGGGAGCTGTGAGAACAAAGAAGAGAAAGGGAAATCCCTCCCAGCAGCCTCAGGAGCAGCGGATTAAAGCTCCACAATCAACTCGATATACCCTGCACCTGTGGAATACCTGAATAGACAACCAATCATCCCAAATTAAGGAGGTGGACTTTGGAGCAAGATTTATGATTTTTTCCCCTTTTCCTCCTTTTGTGTGTATGTGTATACTTCTTTGTGAGATTTTGTCTGTATAGCTTTGCTTCCACCATTTGTCCTAGGATTTTATCCGTCTGTTTTTTTCTCTTAATTTTTTATTTTAATAAATTTATTATATTTTATCTTACTTTATGTTTTTTTACTTTATCTTCTTTCTTTCTATATTTCCTTCCTTCCCTCCTTCCTCCTTTCCTCCCTCCCTCACTCCCTCCCTCCTTTCTTTCTTTCCTTCTACTTCTACTAATTCTTTCTTTCTACTTTTTCTCCCTTTTATTCTGAGCCGTGTGGATGAAAGGCTCTTGGTGCTCCAGCCAGGCATCAAGGCTGTGCCTCTGAGGTGGGAGAGCCAACTTCAGGACACTGGTCCACAAGAGACCTCCCAGCTCCACATAATAACAAACGGCAAAAATCTCCCAGAGATCTCCATCTCAACAAGAGCACCCAGCTACACACAACGACCAGCAAGCTACAGTGCAGGACATCCTATGACAAACAACTAGCAAGACAGGAACACAACCCCACCCATTAGCAGAGAGGCTCCCTAAAATCACAATAAGTCCACAGACACCCTAAAACACACCACCAGACGTGGACCTGCCTACCAGAAAGACAAGATCCAGCCTCATCCAGCAGAACACAGGCACTAGTCCCCTCCACCAGGAAGCCTACACAACCCACTGAACCAACCTTAGCCACTGGGGACAGACACCAAAAACAATGGGAACTACGAACCTGCAGCCTGCAAAAAGGAGACTCCAAACACAGTAAGATAAGCAAAATGAGAAGACAGAAAAACACAGAACAGATGAAGGAGCAAGAAAAAACCCACCAGACCTAATAAATGAAGAGGAAATAGGCAGTCTACCTGAAAAAGAATTCAGAATAATGATAGTAAAGATGATCCAAAATCTTGGAAATAGAATAGACAAAATGCAAGAAACACTGAACAAGGACCTAGAAGAACTAAAGATAAAACAAACAACAATGAACAACACAACAAATGAAATTAAAAATACCCTAGATGGGATCAATAGCAGAATAACTGAGGCAGAAAAACGGATAAGTGACCTGGAAGATAAAATAGTGGAAATAACTACTGCAGAGCAGAATAAAGAAAAAAGAATGAAAAGAACTGAGGACAGTCTCAGAGACCTCTGGGACAACATTGAACGCACCAACATTCGAATTATAGGGGTTCCATAAGAAGAAGAGAAAAAGAAAGGGTCTGAGAAAATATTTGAAGAGATTATAGTTGAAAACTTCCCTAATATGGGAAAGGAAATAGTTAATCAAGTCCAGGAAGCACAGAGAGTCCTATACAGGATAAATCCAAGGAGAAATATGCCGAGACACATATTAATTCAAACTGTCGAAAATTAAATGCAAAGAAAACATATTAAAAGCAGCAAGTGAAAAATAACACACAAGGGAATCCCCATAAGGTTAACAGCTGATCTTTCAGCAGAAACTCTGCAAGCCAGAAGGGACTGGCAGGACATATTTAAAGTGATGAAGGAGTAAAACCTGCAACCAAGATTACTCTACCCAGCAAGGATCTCATTCAGATTGGATGGAGAAATTAAAACCTTTACAGACAAGCAAAAACTGAGAGTTCAGCACCACCAAATCAGCTTTACAACTGCTAAAGGAACTTCTCTAGGCAAGAAACACAAGAGAAGGAAAAGACCTACAATAACGAACCCAAAACAATTAAGAAAATGGGAATAGGAACATACATATAGATAATTATCTTAAATGTAAATGGACTAAATGCTCCCACCAAAAGACACAGATTGGCTGAATGGATACAAAAACAAGACCCATATATTTGCTGTTTACAAGAGACCCACTTCAGACCTAGAGACACATACAGAATGAAAGTAAGGGGATGGAAAAAGATATTTCATGCAAATGGAAACCAAAAGAAAGCTGGAGTAGCAATTCTCATATCAGACAAAATAGACTTTAAAATAAAAACTATTAAAAGAGACAAAGAAGGACACTCTATAATGATCAAGGGATCGATCCAAGAAGAAGATATAACAATTGTAAATATTTATGCACCCAACACAGGAGCACCTCAATACATAAGGCAAATACTAACAGCCATAAAAGGGGAAATTGACACTAACACGTTCATAGTAGGGGACTTTAACACCCCACTTTCACCAATGGACAGATCATCCAAAATGAAAATAAATAAGGAAACACAAGCTTTAAACAATACATTAAACGAGATGGACTTAATTGATATTTATAGGACATTCCATCCAAAAATAACAGAATACACGTTCTTCTCAAGTGCTCATGGAACATTCTCCAGGATAGAGAATATCTTGGGTCACAAATCAAGCCTTGGTAAATTTAAGAAAATTGAAATTGTATCAAGTATCTTTTCTGACCACTACGCTATGAGACTAGATATCAATTACAGGAAAAGATCTGTAAAAAATACAAACACATGGAGGCTAAAGAATACACTACTTAATAACGAAGTGATCACTGAAGAAATCAAAGAGGAAATCAAAAAATACCTAGAAACAAATGACAATGGAGACACGACGACCCAAAACCTATGGGATGCAGCAAAAGCAGTTCTAAGAGGGAAGTTTACAGCAATACAATCCTACCTTAAGAAACAGGAAAGATCTCGAATAAACAACCTAACCTTGCACCTAAAGCAATTAGAGAAAGAAGAACAAAAAAAAACCCAAAGTTAGCAGAAAGGAAGAAATCATAAAAATCAGGTCAGAAATAAATGAAAAAGAAA